ACATTCATACCAGAGCCAACCTAGACAATAACATCAGGAATTGAACATATTTACTAGCAATATTAAATATAAGAAATAACTTTACCTCAAATGTCATATTTTCCACCAAAACGTCGCCATTAGGTGTGACTAATGGTACATTTTCAAACCTTTAAAAAAATATCAAAAATAAACTGAAAAATATTGACAGATAGGTTGAAAATAGACTTGAAGACTTGACGAACAGAGAAGACTAGGAAAAGATGAAAAACTGACTTTTTCCCAGTCTTAAGCTTCTACTTATGAAGAGAGAAGACTGGAAACAGAAACCTGTTTTTTGTCAAAACATCTGCTTGATGAAGGCAGGAGACTGGGGACAATTCACATTGATTTAATAAGACAGACACACAATATTCATATTTCAGGATTATACCTTATTAAATGGTCCTTCTCTACTATTTGACCACGCTTACGTGTCAATTCAGCAGTTGAGATTTTCTTCCCTTCTGATGAGAGTAGCCAAGCAGTTAGTAATAAAAATAATAACATTATTGTCATCATAAACAATTATTGTCTTGAATAGTCATATAAAAATACAAAGGACAGTAATTCTCTTTACCTTTTTTATCATTTTCATCCTCACGTTTGTTAGCGATGAGTGTTCTCTGATAAACACCATTGTTAAGATCTTTGAGAACACTCATGAGTTCTGATACTCTTGCAGTGAACCTAGAATACATAGATGGTCAGGAACAAACAGACCCCGATATCAACAAACCAAAGCCTAGGATGTCTTACCCTGCCAGACGAGTCATTTCTCGACCAGCTAGCACCAATCTTCCAATAGCTTCAGCCATTTTAACCAGCATACGACCACTACGATAGTAATCCTATAAAAACAAAGGTTTCTCAGTTTGTTAAGTAATTAATTACTCATCTAAGATGAAAACACAATTTCTTCTTTTGAATTTAGCTTTGCRAGTAGTTTTCTCAGGAGTCTGCTTACCTCCATTCGAACATCGTGTGCACTGTTTCGTAGCTTGGTGTTTTTAGGTGAGAGGAATGGTCTGCTGACCACATAAAAACCGCAGACAGTAGCAAGATCTACAATATAAAAGATAAAAAGTTGRTTATGAAACAATGGATATTAAGTTATTATGTTATCAAGGGTGCAAGTCACATCAAGATAAGAAAACCTGTCAAATACTCACATTTAGCAATTACGTTATCTATGATACCCATGCTGAACCGGAACTTGACAAAGTCTTTGAGATGGTCCACCTAAAAACAATATGGACAACAAATATCAATGTTAATAACTGGCTTAATTGCACTGTTACTCTCCCTCTAACTGCTGGTTAATTCATTCTTTAATTCCTAAAGGTTTTTCTCTTTTATTTTCACTTAAAAACATTTTTTTAGTTTGCTGTTGTTGTTTCTTCAACTTCCTCTTACTCAATTCATGCACTCTTAGTCCTCTCCACCACATTCCGTCTTACTTACCAGTCGACCAAAAGTAGATTCAATGGTGGATTTCTCTCGTATATGTCCTTGATAAAATGCTATTTCCTCACTGTGAAAAAATGAAATATATTTATTATCAAAACATTAAACAAAGTCTAATGGTGTGTGTATTTTCTTTTTCGTATAAATTATGCAGTAAATGCTGTTTTTTAAGCATGAAAGCACAAGGATCCATAAGCATTAGAATAAGTATAAGCATTAGCATATGCATTAGCACAAGCCCTTGAAGTTTACCTATTTGTAATCAATCTTGAATTGACATAACGGAATTCTCCYTCAAGATGCTGCTCTTCAACTGTCATTTTACCAACAGGACGACGCATTCTACATGAGGTAACAATGTCAATATATATTAATAAGATATCTTTAAATATTGAAATATTTAAAATATGCTACGCACCTAGTGAGAACAAGACCAGATACTGCAAGGTATAGCAACATATAGGCTGGACCCTGTAAGATAAAACATCTTATTGATTATAGATGCAGTTATGATCAAATGTTGACGATTGGTGATCATGAGGAAAGTGATAACATATGGTGTACCACAGGGTTTCATACCTGGACTCCTATTGCTCCACTAAGTTTATGTACATAGATGACAATGTCCAAAAGAGGCTGAAAGACAGGTGTCAATCATTGTTATTATAATGCATTGATTAAAAAAATAGAGACTATGTCATTGTTTATATAGTTAATTGTAAATGAGTTTTGATATCTAACTTACCTTACTGACATTTGAATACAACTCAGCCAGACAAGCACAGAACTTGTCAACATCCTAAAACATAGACATGAATAGTTACATTGGAAAAAAAGCTAGTTATCCAGTCAAATAACATCATCATTTTGACTGAGTTACATGCACATTGCCTATCTTATACTGTACCTGAGTTAATAGCTGGTCAGCATTAGCTATTCTATTGTCCAAGTTGCTCATCTTATAATATGTAAAACCACTAGAAATCAAAATCAAAAGAAGACAGAAAATTCTTTGATTGGATATCTGTATGTGCGTGATCACAATCTTCAATTTTGCAATTAATGAATATATATTAATAAAAATGTGCTTAAATACATTAATAAMGTTTGTACCTTAAATATTTCTCAGTAAGATATAAGGTAAGTCGTTTCCTGAATCTAAGTTTCAACATATTTAAACCATACTACGGACAGAACAAAACAGATGTTAACTAAGYATTATCTARSTAAGATATAAGSCACTAGGCCATGTGGGATAGGCTCTGTTATCATATAGAGMATGAGCAATAGAGAATTAGAATGARCATTTGAAAAAACATGCCCAAAGTTAATTATAAATTAACATCAGTTGACATTAATTATTATTGACTCACCTTTAGCAGATTATTAATAATTGATATCTGTAAAACAATGGTATTAAATAATTATTAGAGCAACAAATATAAATTTATGTGAGTGTTTGTATCTGATATTGTACTAACCAGCGGCATAGCATATGCAAATTCCAACAGGTTGTCTTTAAAGCCAGAATAATCACCTCCAATGATCGACCTAAACATAGAAAAAAATATGGTTGGTCTGCCTGTGTTCAAYGACGTTATATTTAACACAGGGTTCCCAATACATCACCCATTACACTCAAGGAACAGAACGCTATTCTTGGTTTAAGGTTTGATGTGAATGACTAAAAAAAAATCACTAAAATAAACATTAAGGATGGGTTGCCTGTGTCAATTGCTGTGACACAGGGATCCCATAAAAATATTAGAAAATTATACTATTTATGAATGGTATTTGCTGACCTTTCAATGACAGTCCCATTGTGAATCATCCATACATCACAGTACGTCCTAGCTATCAATGAAATAGCAACCAGTACC